TCTCCCCTATCTTCCAAAGACGAAAAAGATCCGTCCAAATATGAACCACATAAAGAACCTACGAAAGGGGAGGAATCTGAAGAAGAGAAGGGAACGATCAAAGATGAGAGACCAGTTGGAGAAAACATAAAAGAAGAGGATTCCACCTCATTCCCAACGTGGTACTTCCACCTAAAGGAAGCAAATTTCATCACAAGAGTCGAGAAGATTTGAATACACTCTCAGAGAGAACTAATAGCCTCGAGGAACAAGAATGACAAGTCATCACTCCCCAAGTCCGTTTTGCTTATCGACAAGCCTAACAATAAAGTTGCGCTTCTCCTAATTGAACATAGTGTTCGAAATAAGACAACAAATTGAATCTATGATAGACAACATGAATATAGTAGAATATGCCACTTGCACTCTCAGTCAATGAGTTAGAGAGCACAAGAAAGAACAACATGATGAAAAAGGCACTGCCCACATACTATGTCGTCATGACAATTAACCAAAGAAAGGTTACTACCTATGGCCACAAAATATATACTATAGACACAGAGTATAACTGACCTAAAGTAGACTAGGTATCAAATGATTGTAACAAATTAAAGGGTGCGTGAAACTCCTAACCAGCTCGAGGAGCCAGCCAATATGCTAATCGGACATTCTAAATCGCTAACAAGCTCACCTAAGGAGAGTAGTACCCTTAGGTTAAGGTTAGAAATCATGGGAGAAGATATTATACGAAAAATTTTATCCTTGGTATGTCTCTCAATGGATGAAGCTTTTCCATTACTAACCCTGCTCATGTTTAGAAACTGGGTATAACAATATGTAATCGGAATACACATGTTTACGCTATCGGGTTGTTTTAAAGGCCATATATATTAACAGTCCTCTCTCTATCATTTGGAAATCCGTAGAATTTTAGGAACAAGTCACACTAATACAATATCATATAATACGACTCATCCGTGCTCGTTTATAACTAAATTGTTATCGGTACATTTCCTGTTAGCAAACTTCATTCATCTGTGCTATTTGATTATAGTATCAATAAAAGCTTCATTGACCATAAGTTTAGAAGCATGCTAAACCATAAACCCTGCAACGGCCAAGTAGAAGGCATCTTAGAGATACTTACCAATTTCCCCCACACCTTGAGCAACCACGTCTCTCACATCAACCTAATACCCATGACCATTTGAAGTTTCGATGAGATTATCGGAATGGACTGATTATCACCTCTCTGAGCCAAAGTTATATGCTATGAGAAATCCGTCCGATTACCCATACCCAACGAAGAAACTCTTGTTATTTATGGAGATAAATGAGGGAAGAACCTAAGAGCCATTTCTTGCATGAAGGCAAGAAAGCGCTTACAAAAAAGATGGTTCGCTTTCTTGGCCCACGTGATGGATATGCAAGGCAAGGGTAAGGAAATCAAAGATATTCCACAAGTGTGCGATTGCCCGGACGTATTCTCAAAGGATCTACCTGGACTACCCCCAGTCAAGTAGGTGGAATTCTAAATCGATTAAATCCCGGGTGTAGCGCTAGTGGCAAGATCTCCTTATCACCTGGCACCATCGGAAATGTAAGAACTATCCGGTCAACTCCAATAACTAATTGACAAAGGCTTTATCCAGCCAAGCTTTTCACCTTAGGAGCTCCGGTGTTGCTTATCAAAGAGAAGCATGGACCGTTCAGGATATGCATCGACTATCGAGAGTTGAACAAATACCTACTCCCGAGGATCGATGACCTGTTCAACCAGTTGCAAGGATGTTCAACCAGTTGCAAGGACCCGACTACCACTCGAAGATCAAACTAAGATCTGATATTCATCAACTCAGAGTTCAAGAAGAAGACACTCCCAATACGACATTCAGGACCTAGTACGGTCACTACGAGTTCTTGTTTATGCCCTTCGGGTTGACACATGCACCGAAAATATTCATGGATATTATGAACCGAGTGTGCAAACCCCATTTGTACAAGTTCGAGATCGTCTTTATCGATGATATTATAACAGACTCACAAACCAAGGAATAATATGGCCAGCACTTGCGTTTGATTCTAGAACTACTAAGGAAGGAGAAACCTTATGCAAGGTTCTCAGAATATGAATTATGGATCAACGAGGAGCGTTTCCTTGATCATGTGGTCAATAGCAAAGGAATTCATAGTGAACCTGCAAGGATTGAAGAAAATACGGATTAGAAAGCACCAACGACACCAACCGAAGTATGCTAATTATTAAGGCTTATGGGCTATTACCAGAGATTCATTGAGAATTTCTCTAAAATAGCCAAGCCTCCAACTTCTCTAACCCAGAAAGAAAAGGAATCCGATTGGGGAGACAGTCAAGGGCCTGCCTTCCAGAGATTGAAACAATCGTCGTGCAGTGCACCGATCCTGCCTTTCCCCAGAGGGAACAGAAGACTTGGTAGTATTCTGCGATGCCTCACGCCAAGGATTAGGATGAATGCTGATGAAAAGGAATAAAGTCATTGCATACGCACCCATGCAACTCCATCCAAACGAGGTAAACTACAGTACCCACGACTTAGAGTCAGAAGCGGTAGTGTTTGCCTTAAATATTTTGAGGCACTACCTATACGGAACAAAGTGTGTCGTGTTCACCAATCACAAAAAGCCTCCAACGCACCTTCGATCAGAAAGAGCACAACATGAGACAACAAAGTTGGGTAAAATTGCTAAATGATTACGAATGCGAAATTCATCGTCATCTGGTAAAGAAAATGTTGCAGCAGATTCTCTGAACAGGAAAGAACGAGCAAAACCACTTCGCGTAAAGGCTCCAACCCTAACAATCCCCTCTAGTTTCACCACCCAAATTCGAGTCGTCCAACTGGAAGCCCTCAAATCCGAAAATATTGTGTGAGAGAACCTGCAGGGAATGAATAAGCAGTTCGAAACCACGAAAGACGGAACACAATATTTGATGAACCGAATTTGGACCCCGAGGGTTGGTGAAGTCAGGAACCTAGTTTTAAATTAAGCTCCTATGTTGAGATATCGATAAATCTCGGGATCTGACAAGATGTATCTAGATATTAAGAAGCTTTATTGGTGGCCCAACATGATGGCAGAGATTGCCTCATATGTCGGTCAATGCTTGACTTGCGTTAAGTCAACACAGAGTATCAAAAGCCAACGTGACTACTACAACAACCATCGATTCCGGAATAGAAATGGGAGCAGATAGCCAAGGACTTCATAACAAATTTGCCAAAGACTTTGAGCGGTTATGACACCATTTGGGTTATGGTTGACCACTTGACTAAGTCCGCCCATTTCCTAGCCATTAATGAAACTGACAAGACGGAGAAACTCACCAGGACCTACATCAAGTAAGTAGTCAGACTGCACGGAGTACCAACATCTATTATCTCAGGACCGAGATAGCAGATTTGCTTTTAGGTTTTGGCAATCGTTGCAGAGATATCTAGGAACCAAACCAGATGTGAGTATTGCATATCATCCTCAAATAGATGGACATAGAGAAAAGGCGATACAAACTCTGGAAGTCATGCTCCATGCCCGTGTAATAGATTTCGGTACGACATAGGATATTCATTTACCGCTAGTCGAGTTTTCATACCACAATAGTTATCACACCAGCATACAAGCTCCCCCATTCAAGGCTTTGTATGGATGCAAATGTCGCTTTCCGCCATGCTAGGCAAAAGTTGGAGATATCCAACAAGCTAGAAAGCATGTTGGAGATACTTTATGTATTGGCCTCGAGGTCACTCAGGAAATCACACAAAAGATCGTTCAGATCAAGGAAAGGTTAAAGGCCACACACCTATAGTAAAAGTCCAATGGAACTCTCGTAGAGGGCCGAAATTACTTAGGAACGCGAAGACGAAATGAAACAGAAGTACCCACAACCGTTCAACGGTGATCCGTCCACTAGTGGAACGAAAAAGTTGTAGGAACGAGGTAATTTCGGGACAAAATTCCTTTAACGGGGAGGTAATGTGACATCCTGGAATTTAGGGCTTAATCTGTAAAGGGTCAGATCACCGCGAACCTTTTTTTATCTCGATCGATCGAATTTTAATACATATTATAGTAAAAATATTTGTAAAAGTCAGAAAAATCAGACGTTCCAGATCAATTAGACGTGAAACTTCAAACACGGATTCCTAGAGTTCTACAAATCGAAAAATCAATATGTTTGGATTCCCTTTGAAACCGCTGAACTTAAAACTATTGTTCGTCAAGTACTCCTTTAATTGATTAAATAAATAAAAGAAACTAAATAAACATAACAAATATAAATAAATAAATGAAAATAAAATTAAAGTAATAGTGGGATTTTTCATTTAATTAAATCTACTCATCTTAAATGAATGCATATTAGTCTAGGGGCAGATTTGCAATTTCCTGAAACTAATTTAGTCACAATATATGAAATTAGGGTGGAGTTAGTTAGTGTGCCAAATAGCAGGGACCATTTGTTCCAAAATTGGAAAGACTGTGTCTTCTTCCCTATCACCAGGTGCAGGTCTCGTTTGTTCTCTTCTTCCCCATTAGAACTGATACAAAAACGAATCTTGGAAAGGAAGTGGTCCAAATTCCTCAAAGGTGAGCCTTTGACTAAATTGATGAGTCTCTTTCAAATCCTTTTGATTGGAAATCCCGGATTTAAGGCTATTAAGAGGAAATTGTCGGCATTGGATCTTCACCACCAAGAACCACCACACTACCCTCACTGTTCAGTCGAGTCCCAGCCCTTTCTCCCTGCTACAAATCGCCATCCCCACCCCACTGCCGCTGCAGGAGCTCCTCCCTCCACCACCACAACCCAGCCACCCATCTAGTGTTCAATCAAACCCACCCTCCAATCACCCCTACTGTCTTCGTTTTGGTTTCACTGTCAAAGAAAAAAAAACAAGATGGCACCACCACTGAAGGTGGCCGAGAACCGTTGTCACCTCCATCAAGAACCAGCACCGGTGGTCTCGAACCACCGTGTTGCACCACTATAAAAACACCATTGCACCACCAGAACACATCCTCTCGTATTTCTCACTCCCTTTCCTCATCCCCTCCCTTCGTGCTCGCCGAAACGGAAAAGACACGAAGCAGCAGAGCTGCCAATCGTCACCCTCGTCACCCACCACCACCACCAAAACCCACCTCGTCACCACCACCAACGGAAGCAACCACCCCCAATTGTGATCAAAATCACCACCGTGACCCGCCCTTTTCTTGAAACTCCTTCCATCGCCAGTCTCTCTGCCCTCCCTCTTGTTGAGCTCGGTAGAAAAAGAGAAGAACGGAGGCAGCGACGCTGCCATTGACCGCCCACAGCCGCCACTCGCCGACACTGTTTGCGGTCGCCTTTGCCCTCCAGTCACGCTATAAGTCGTTGTCTCCACCCTCGTGACTTTCTTTGTATACCCCGTCCGTTCAATTAGAAACCAGAACCGATTCCGTTGTTCTTGGTTTATGGATTTTTTCGTCCCTGTAATCGCGACCAGGAAGAAGACCAGGGAACGTTCAAACACTAACGTGTTTTATTTAAATGTAACCCTGAAATATGCTGCTTTTACGACTCTACTCCCCCATGTGAAATAAGTTCAATGTAAGTCAAATCTACATTTAAGTTAAACAGAATTGGCCCCTCCACCATAAACCCTAACAAGTTAAGTCCTAAATCCCGAAATCAGTTTCAGATGTACAATTTTAGCCCCTGGTCCGAAGAATATTAACAATATGAGTCCGAAATCGTAAATTAGGTTGAGGATTCACACTTGAAGTCCTTGCCATGAAAATATTTTGCAAAATCAGTCCCCAGATTATGATTTTGGCAAAGTCAACCCCTATAGTTTATTTATTTTAACAAAGACCACCCTATACTTATTAATTAATACCAAAACTACTCGTTGGTTTATTAGGAAATATAAGTATACCCGGTGATTCGTTTTAACAACGAGGAACGTTACGTAACAAATCTTACGACAAGATTCACACCTCGAGCCTCGTTCACGCTACGAAAGTGAGTGTTTACGGCCCCTTTTTAATATTTTTACGCTTTGGGGGAGAATACATGTGCTATATATATTTATTGATCTTGACAAACACTTACCGATTTCAAAACTAGTTTATAAATATTATTTTATTAAATAATACTTCATATACAAATAAACTAGTGATAAATATGTTTGATGTAAATATGTTACAGTTGCTTTTAAATAATAAAACTAGTCGAGATAACAAATGATTTCTGCATACAAAATATCATGATTTTATGACAAAATATGTTATAAAACTTATGTCGTAAAAATTTACCACATTTGTAGTATTTCAAGCGCATATCAAACATACACATAGGAGTTATCAAACTCTTGTCTTGAAATCATTTACGTACTGTGTACACTACCATGAGATTTACCACTTATTTGAACGAGCATTACACATTTTTATGGATTTTCTTATCGAGTATAATCGGCTTTTCATGACAAACTCTAGTTAAGGGCCTTATGAGTGAGACATTATTCATTACCCTAAGTGAAAACAAACACTTAGAAGACTCACACCACTATAACCGTTAATCTTCGGAGCTGAGATACGTATGTATAGATCTATACGGGTTGACACCCCCACCCGTGGTTGCTAGCTACAACCTCGACCGATCAATCGAAGCGAGTGATAAATATCTAAAACAATTTTACGACGTCCAATGAAGCATCGTAGGGGTAGGTACAGTCACATAGCTCGGTTATAGGACTCACTATAAGCATTAACTAGATCTCATAATCTAGAAACCACGGATCCGGTTTCCCTGATTATCAAACCTTTTGAGTATGAATTTACTCATGGTTCTCTGATTACTAAACATTTTGAGTTTGGATTTACTCACGGTACTTTGAGTACGAAACATTTTAAGTATGGATTAACTCACGGTTTATTTGATTACTAAACATTTTGGACATGGATTTACTCATGATTTCTCTATTATCAAACATTTTAAGTATGAACTTTACTCACAATTTCTCTGTCTATCAATTACCTTAAGTATGAATTTACTTATAAATTTCTCTTTTATCAAACATTTTCAAACATCGTTTAAACTATAAATGGAATACCTTTTAATCTTTTAAAGTATCATTACTGCGGTTAGCAGAAAACCTGTGAACTCTCACCAACCTTGTGTTGACCCTCAAAATTTCATGTATTCTTAGGGTATTACCAAACGAGCTTTCAGTCAGAAGATTAGTCATGGATTTCAAGCGACCTAATTTTATCTAGCTTTTGTTATATCGGCCTATCTGTTAAGGAAAATTTATGAATTTATTATTATGAACCTTGTATTCAAACCTTAAATTGTAATGTAACTGTTATGTTGTTAATGTTGTAACTTGTGATGTATATTCAATTTGCTTATGATCCATGAACTAAGTCGCATAGCCTTGTGTATTCTGCCGCCTCGGCCGGGGGTGTGACATGAACGCTCCATGCAAAGGGTGCACAGATGATGAAGGGAGGGCACTAGTGCAAGCATGGCTAGATGTTTCGGAGGATCCAACGATAAGCGACGACCAAGATTCGAAAACCTTCAAAGCTAGAGTTTGGCATAGTTTTTGTCACAAAATGAAAAAGCAGTACCACAATCCTGATCAACTTTACTTGAACTGGAGGACCGCTAACAAAGCCTGAATGGAGTTTAATTACATATGCATGAATGCCAGCCGCAACCCCCAAAGCGGTGCAAATGAGGTAGATGTGCTAGAAAAAGTTCGTCAGATTTACATGGAGAAAGTCGGAAAAGCTTTTGGCAATGAGACGTTTTGGGGAGTTGTGAGGGACAAACCAAAATGACTTAATCTAAAAAGTGCTGATGATTACGCGAACATGTCCAAAAGAAGCAAAACTTCTGATTCAACCCACAATCAATCTTTTGATGCGCGTACCGGGGGGATTGATCTCAACAATGACGATCCATATGAAGTTCCAACTCGTCCTATGGGACGAAACAAAGCAAAAAGAAAGTTGAAAGGAGCACAAAGTTCATCTGCAACATCCCAAAAGAGGTATATCATTTATGACCTTAATCTTTTATGTATATGTCAAGACTAGTCCTTATTATGGAAAAGGTGGCATATGAGTATGCGGGGCGTACGCATGTGTACGCACAGCGTACTCGTGCACTTTGCATGATCGTAGAGGCCACCTAGTACGCTGGGCGTACCAGAGGGTACGTTGGGCGTACTAGGCTCATAATGGAACCCTAATATCTTATTGTGTCCCTATTTAAAGAACATGATGGCCTCATTTCTGGCCACCATTATCAGCCTCCAACCTCCTCAAAACCCTAATCTCGTTTCTCTAGCTTGTGTGAGAGTTTGTGGCTTATTTGAGTGTTCTTGTGAAGCTTTTGGTGGAGAAGAAGTCGTGAAGGAAGGATAGCTTGTGCTTCTAGCTCTTGGATCTGAGTTCTACTTCAGTTGGTATATCTTCCAGAGGTATCAAGTTCAAAACTTGTTCATTGTTTGTTCTAGTTCTTGTTTTGGGTCCTTTTTAGGGTTTTACATCCCAAGTTTGGAACGTTGTGAGTTTGGTGAACTCCAAAGCTATTCTTCTGTCCTTTTAGGTGTATTAGAGTGTTCTAATCCATAAAAATGTGTGCTTGGACGTCTTAATAACTTCATGCATGAGTTGTATGGTCTTTTGTGTTGAGAAGTTGGAGTTTTTGAGATTGGGTCTTGACTAGCCATGCAAAGTCTTAAAGTCAACAACTTTATTGATCAAGAGGCCTTATTTAGCTTAGATCTATAGTTAGAATGATTGTCTTAACGGATTAAGACCAAGTGAAGTGGAAAAAGGGAGTCTGAGGAGTACGTCGTGTGTACTCCCAGCTACACGCAGCGTAGCGCTGAGAATACCTGTCACATGCTTAGCCAGTAGTACGCCCAACGTAGAGGGTTGTACGCCCAGCATACTCGTGGGCGTTGACTTTCGTTGACTTTTGGGTTTTTGGTCAAGTTGTTGACTTTTGGCCAAGGAGGGGAAAAATGGTCTTTTAGCCTCCTGAGATTTAGTAGAGTGGCCTGGTCTAGCATTTTGGGGTTATTAAAATTAATTATTATTTAGAGTTAAATGTGGCATATTTAGGCGGAGCCTAGACCGGCAGTTCGGGTGCGAGGTTTATTTGCTTTTCTACGCGAGGTGAGTCTTCTAACTATACTTACATGTGTGGAGATTTATGTGTGACCAGAGGGTCTTATTCATGTTATTGACCGGAGGGTCTTAATTGCTTATATGTGTGTTATTATGCATTCTGTTTTGGTGACTTATGGTGTTCTATTATTCTCTGTGTGTGTGTGTATATATATATATATATATATATATATATATATATATATATATATATAGAGAGAGAGAGAGAGAGAGAGAGAGAGTTATGACCAGAGGGTCCATCCCGAGGCATGAGACATGAGGGTCTTCACTAAGACACATGACCGAAGGGTCCTTATCGAGATTTATCCATGAGAGGCTAACTATTTGTGTATGTGGTATTTTGGGGAAATCTCTAAGCTACATGCTTCAGTGTTGATTAATGTGTTTCAGGTAGATCTCAGGATCGCGGGAAGGCGCCGGCATGATTGTATGCACCAACCTGATGATTAGAGTTTATGTGGATTCTGGGATACTCTAACTTTGTTTTATGATATTATGTATTCGACAATTGTATTTTGGCATGGGTTGATGCGATGAATTATGTTTTTAGGAAATTTAAAAATGAAAAATTACTTTGAAAATTTGAGTTGTTACAAGTTGGTATCAAAACCTTGGTTTGAGGGATTCGGGCACGCCCTCGGGTATGTCTGGACTCAAAGTAAGGAGTTGATAAATTTTTTAAAAGAAATGATTTCTTAAAAAGGTTTTTCCAAAAGAGTAAAGGACTTTAAGAGAAGAGCAGGTAGGAGCAATGTGTACAATCAGCCATAGCTCGAACGGTGATTTCCTAAAATACCCTTAATTGATTTTAATTATGAGATGAGTTGTTATTTGAACCGTTAGAACCGCATGCTAGATGATAGGCTAGGTATCTTCAGGATGTATGAGCTAGAGTTTCCTGATTTGTGATGCCTTAGCCTAGGGAGTTGTTTCTTTACTTGAGAAGTATATGATGAGTGCCTAGATGTTAGTTTAAGAATTCTGCAGAGTGAATAGCTAGATATCCATGTAGGATAGAGAACTTGTGACTTAGGGTCTTAAGAGGACGACTTAGGACAAATACGGATTGGTGTGGAAGGTAGTATTGGGCCCGTACTACTGAAAGCACCAGATCCATACACCACTCAAGAAGGAATCTTAGGATGCTAAGGAGCTTGCATGAGTGTACAAGTGTTGGGTGTGTGCGATTTAGCCTATCTCTGATGAATTCCGTGTTTTTGTTTCAGAGAGAGTATGGTGGTTACCCGAGGTTTAGGCTCCAGTGACCCCAAGAGTCCGAGTGTTAGTGATGCGGAGATCCGCATGATCATTACTGAGGAGGTGGCCGTAACTATCATGGATGCCATCCCAGAGATGTTCGGGTCTATTAAGACTACGTTTATCAAGACTTTTGACGAGCGCTATGCTTCCATCACTGAGGTTGCCGCTGCCACAGCCACCGCAACCCTTGCAGCAACACAAAGCCACTAGAGTTTGACGGGACCCAAGACCCGATTGCTACGATGAGATGGATCTATGATGTTGAGGGATGTTTCTATATATGTTCATGCCCGGAGAACTTGAAGGTTCGATTTGCGCTGAACCAGTTTCGCTTGGGGGCGAAGGACTGGTGAAAGTTTGTGATGAATGATTATTCTCCTGCAGAGCATGCTGCAGTGAATTAAGAAAGGTTTACCCAACTGTTTCGAGATGAGTTCGTTCCCTAGGTGGAGAGGGAGCGGTTGGCCCAGGAGTTTATGTCTCTCAAGCAGAAGACAGAGATGGTGACGGAGATCACAAGGATGTTCCACGAGAGGGCATTATTTTGCTCTGAGCACGTGTTTACAGAGCAGACATGTGTGAGCCGGTACTTGATCATTTTGAGGAGGGATATTCGGGAGTTCGTGGTGAACTCATCATATCGGATATTGGCTGAGTTGCAGATAATTTGCCAGGAGGAGGGAAATCGAGATGGAGATCCAGACGAGAGAGGAGAGAGAGAGAGTCTCAGGAGAGAGATAGGAGGCTAGTGAAGTTGCATCTGGTGACTAAGCGGCCTAAGCTCGCTGATTCTAGAGCAGGAGGCGAAAAGGGCCACACTTGTGGCAAGTGAAGTAAGAGTCATGAGGGATCTTTCCGATCAGGGATTTGTTTCAAATGCGGAAAGGAGGGGAACATGACAAAGGATTGCCCCAAGGGATTTTTGATTTGCTTTCAGTGCAACCAAACTGGCCACAGGAAGGCTGAGTGTCCACACCTCACTAAGGGTTCGGCGCAGACCCCTGCTCCTGCTACTTTGCTTATTTATGAGGGTCGGCCAGTGAAAGCCGAGGCTCCGAGAGCTCGTGGGAGAGCTTTTCAGATGACTGCGGAGGAGGTTTGCATAGCGCCTGATGTTGTTGCTGGTATGTATCTCTTTATTTTGTTGTTGTTTTGAATTGGTTATGCTTATGTTGTGTTTCTTGTTAGGTACTTTCCTTGTGAATTCTGTGCCTGCTTTAGTGTTATTTGACTCGGGTGCGAGTCGATCCTTTGTGTCCTTATCCTTTAGTCGTTGTTTTAGCACCAGGAGAGAGGACTTGAGTCGGCCATTGAGGGTTTCCATAGCTGATAAGCATGCGGTTTTTGCTACCGATGTTTTTCGTGGTTGTGTTCTGGAGATTTTTGGTGTCGAGTTTCCGATTGATCTGGTGCCGATAGCGATGGGGGATGTCTGTGTTATAGTGGGCATGGATTGGTTGAGGCGATTTGGGGCTTTGATTGATTGTGAGTGACAGCTGGTGACGGTTCGGTACTCAAGTGGTGGAGTGCTTACCATTTATGGCGAGGGTACTAGATTCGGATCAGCTTTCTGTTCTGCTGCCAGGGAAAGACAGAGTTTGCAACATGGGTGTATGGGTTTCCTGACTTATGTGGTGGATACGCGGGTTGTGAAAGAGGGGTCGATTTATGTTTCCGATGTTCTGGTGGTATGTGACGTTCCTGATGTTTTTACCCAGAAGTTATCGGGTGTGCCTCCTGAGAGGCCGATGGAGTTCCGAATCGATCTAGTTCCGGGGGCGGCGCCTATCTCCAAGGCACTGTATCGTCTTGTGCCGCCCGAGATGTAGGAGTTATCCTTGCAACTTCAGGAGCTATTGGGGAAGGGATTCATACAACCGAGTAGTACGCCGTGGGGAGCACTAATCCTTTTTGTCAAGAAGAAGGATGGTTCACACCGGATGTGCACCGATTACCGAGAGTTGAACAAGTTGACGGTTAAGAACCGTTATCCGTTGCTGATGATCGAAGACCTATTTGACCAGTTACAGGGGGCGTCTTGGTTTTCCAAGATCGATTTCAGAACTGGATATCATCAGATGAGGGTTCATGAGGAGGATATTCAGAAGACTACCTTTCAGACTTGTTATAGGCATTAGGAGTTCGTGGTGATGCCTTTCGGGCTCACCAATGCACCGGCAGCATTCATGAACCTCATGAACCGAGTGTGTAGGTCCATTTTGGATCGATCGGTTATCGTTTTCATTGACGATATTTTGGTATATTCGAAGTCTAGGGAACAACATGAGGATCATCTTCGGGAGATTCTTGGGGTGTTGAGGATGGAGAGGCTTTATGCCAAATTCTCTAAGTGCGATTTCTGGTTACGAGAGGTCCAGTTCTTGGGACACCTCATTAATCAGAGCAGTATTTTGGTTGATCCAGCCAAAATTGAGCTGGTTATGCGGTGGGAGGTGCCGAGATGTCCATCCGAGATTAAGAGATTCCTTGGTCTGGCAGGTTAGTATCAGAGATTTATCAGGGATCTCTCCAAGAGTGTTGTTCCTCTCACCAAGTTGACCAAGAAGGATGTTGTTTTTATATGGGGGTCTGAGCAGCAGACATCATTTGAGACCCTTCGATAAAAGTTGTGTGAGGCTCCAGTGCTAGCCCACTGGAGGGAGTGGAGGACTTCATACTCTATTGTGATGCATCCATAGCTGGGTTGGGTATTCTGTTGACGCAGAGAGGGCATGTGATAGCATATGCGTCTAGGTAACTGAAGCCTCACGAGACGAGATATCCCACCCATGATTTGGAGCTGGGGGCGATGGTTTTCGCCCTCAAGATCTGGCGTTATTATCTCCATGGTGTCCGGTGCACCATATACACGGACCATAAGAGCCTAAGATACCTTATGGACCAGCCCAACTTGAATATGAGGAAAAGGAGGCGGTTGGACATAATGAAGGACTACGATTGTGATATCTTGTATCATCCAGGGAAGGCTAATATGGTGGTCGATGCACTGAGCCGCAGAGCAGTGAGTGCCCCGATACAAAGTGTATGTATGAGGATGACGGTGATGAATCCGGTTTTATATGTCATCAAGGAGGCACAAACGGAGGCCATAAAAGAAGAAAACCATAAGAGTGAGCGGGTGATCAGGTCTTAACTCTTCATGGGCAAGTATGGGTGCCATATACGGGTGGAGCCCGACAGATTTTGATGGAGGAGGCCCATAAGTTGAGTTTTTCTAATACCCGGGGGGCACAAAGATGTATCTTGATCTGAAGCATAATTATTGGTGGCCCTAAATGAAGAGACATGTGGCATGGTTTGTAGACAGATGTCTGACTTGTCGAAAGGTCAAGGCGGAGCACCATCACTCTCATGGCAAGTTGCCGCCTCTGGAGGTTCCCCTATGGAAGTGGGAACATATTTCTATGGATTTCATTACCAAATTGCTGAACATTGCGAGGGGTGTGGACACTATCTGGGTGATAGTGGACCGGTTGACAAAGAGTGCTCACTTCTTGGCTATAAGTGAGAACTCTTCCGCGGAGAGGCTGGCCGAGTTCTATGTTCGAGAGGTAGTGACTCGACACGGAGTTCCGACATCTATAGTGTCTGAACAAGATGTGCGCTTTACTTCCATATTCTGGAAGAAATTTCATGAGGAGTTGGGTACCCGACTGCATTTTAGCATCGTGTACCATCCGTAGACGGACGGGCAGAGTGAGCGCACGATGTAGACGCTAGAGGATATGATACGCGCTTGCGTTATGGATTTTGGTGGGAGTTGGGACACCTACCTTCCCTTCGCTGAGCTTTCTTACAACAACAGCCACCACTCCAACATTGGGATTCCTCAATTTGAGCCTTTGTATGAGAGGAGGTGACAAACTCCTATCTTTTGGGGGGAGGTCGGACAGAGGGTTATGGGGAGCACTGAGGTAGTGCTCAAGACGACAGAGCTTATCCAGCAGGTTAGACAGAGGTTGTTAACGGCCCAGAGTCATCAGAAAAGTTACGCAGACCGGGGACGTTCTGAGTTGGAATTTCAGGTCGGTGAATTTGTTCTCTTGAAGGTATCACCATGGAAGGGTGTGATTCGATTCCGGAAGCGGGGCAAGTTGGGTCCCAGATTCATTGGACCTTTCAGGGTGGTTACTCGAGTGGGAAAGGTAGCTTATCGATTAGAGCTGCCTGAAGAGTTGACTCATGTTCACGACACCTTCCATGTATCCCAGCTGAGGAAGTGTGTAGCCGAAGATATGGTTGTGGTCCCTTTGGAGGACATCAGGTTGATGATCGCCAGAATTATATTTAGAGGCCAGTGGCGATATTCGATAAGAGAGTGAAGACCTTGAGGAACAAGGCAGTGAACTTGGTCAAGGTTCAGTGGCAGCACCGTAGAGGTTCGAAGTAGACTTGGGAGCTGGAGTACGAGATGCGTGAGCAGTATCCAGAGTTGTTTCCGGAGGATGACTTCGAGGGCGAAGTCTGATTCCAGTGGGGGAGAATTGTAACATCCTAAAAAGAGGTATATGTCAAGACTAGTCCTTATTGTCGAAAAGGTGGCATTCGCGGGGTGTACGCATGTGTACACGCAGCATACTCATGCACTTTGCATGATCGCGGAGGCCACCTAGTACGTTGGGTGTGCCAGAGGGTACGCTGGGCGTACTAGGCTCAGAACTAAACCCTAATATCTTCTTGTGTCCCTATTTAAAGAACATGATGGCCTCATTTCTGGCCACCATTATCAGCCTCCAACCTCCTCAAAACCCTAATCTCGTTTCTGTAGCTTGGGTCTTTCCTATATAAAAATATGTTGTCTTTGTCCTCGTCGTCATCTTCGTTGGATGATTTGTTTGATAACTTGATATAGTCGATCGTCTCCATACGTAATAGGCGAGAACAACATCTTAACAACATTGAATCGAGCAATACGCAATGTAAACGAAGAAGATATATCCAAAGACAGCATGAAGAAGCCCACCGACGTCCTATGCATGATTATTTTGAAGAGAATGCTCTCTTTGAAGGATATTATTTCCTCCGATGGTTCCGGATGCATAAGGTTTGTTTATATGTATTGAAGAAGGTGAGATTTAAGTGTATGAGTATATACGGTAATGCCCGGATGCAAGAGGTACGTTAGGCTTTAATCCAACTGAAAAGTGTACTGCTGTATTTCGTATGTTAGCATATGCCACCCCCTGATGCACTAGGCGGGAGTTTTAGATGTCTACACGTACCACCTGAGAAAGTCTTCACAAATTTTGCATATCCGTCATGTCTTTGTACGTTCCACGATATTTTCATCATCCTACTTCTAGTGATATAAAAAAGTTGTATGTTAGTCATGCTAATGTGCATGGTTTACCTGGGATGTTCAAAAGTTTAGATTGCATGCATTGGAGATGAAATTTTTTCCCAAATGCATATCATGGACAATACACAAAGGGCAATTATCCTTACCCTACGGTCGTACTTGAAGCTGCAGCCTCACAGGATTTGTGGTTCTGGAATGCCTATTTTGGTAGTCCCGGTTCGATTAATGATGTTAATATTCTCAATATCTCATTAATATTCAACAAGGTATATAATGGTACTTCCCCATATTCACCATTTGTACTCCGAGGAACTACATACAAATTTGGGTACTATCTTGTGGATGAGATCTATCCTAACTATTCTGTTTTCGTTAAAAGATTTCATGTCCGGATAACCCCTCAAAGGTCCATATTCAAGAGAGTAAAAAAAAGCGAGAAAATATATCGACCGAGCATTTGGAGCACTTAAAAAGCGTTGGCAGATAGTTGCCAAAGCATCTATGTTTCCTGATGTTTCTACTATGTCAAAGGTGATGTATACGTGTATCATATTGCATAATATGATACCAGAACATGAAGGAAACGTGATATGTGTGTACGACGAGAAAAAAGTCATCCCTGAGACACAACCACTTGAATATGGTGGTCAAGAATGGATACATAGAATGAGGATAGTAAACAAGGCAGTAATCCATACCGATCTTCGCCTCCATTTGACTAATCATCTTTGGACGATGCATAATCTTGATCTAAATATGTCACCGGAAGACGAATTGGAAGACCAGTTTTATGAGAAAGACCCGTTGCTGTAGTATGTTTTTTTATGAATTGTGTTTTAGTTATGAAGTGTCTTTTTATGTATTTAGTCGTGTTTCGAGGTATTTAGTTATGTTTGTCTGTATTAAGTCATGTTTGTCATGGTTTGAATTACTAACTCATGTTTCTAGGTATTTTAAGTTTTAATTTATTGTATAATCTAAAATTCTATATGAAATGCTTATGTTTTAAAAAATATAATTGATTTGATATTAATTGTTTGCGGTTTAAAAAAATAAAATTTATTTAATATTAATTGTTTGTGTTTTAAAAAAAAATATTATTTAATTAAATTTAATAATAAGAAAAAAATGAGTTAGGAGTGTTGGCACTCCCAACCAAATGCTGCGAATTAGGTGCTAAGAGAGAAAAATGATGTGACACTCGAAAAGGTGATGTGCCAAGATGCTAAGAGCGTTACCACTCTCTCTAGCCTAAGTGTCCCTTCCACCTTCATGTTGTTTTACTATTGTAGAATAATAAACACAATTACTTGTTGTTAGGGGCAAGATCCTTGACTCATATTCAGGATCCTCAAATACTTCTGAAGCCTCAGAATCCTTAAACATATTCTGGGATCCTGACTATTACCACTAATATTTATAACACTTGTTAAGGCTGTATTCTCTTTATTTTTCTCACATGCGCAGAACGAGTCAGCACAAGACCCATTATCAACGAAGAGTCATCTCAACCAGGAAAAAGAGTCGAAATACCAAGTCAAATAACGTTCATATGCTGATTCTGGAGGATCCCGAAATTATCATACTTCTTGTTATTAGCATTAGACTATAAATAGATCATGTAACTAGTACACTATGGACACGTTTAAGCTCATGCACGATACTTGTACTTACATTTACACATTCATCTTTGTATTCAACATTTTACATCAATAAAATCATCAAGGCAGATGATCATTATCACTTCCCAAGGTTTTATGTCGGAGATCCTATCAAGGATCATGGGATTTCCTTGTAACTCACTTGTATCACTTTGATTAACATTACTTACTTGATTTACCACGAATATCACAACCTCTTATACAATTTGGTTAGATTCTACTTAGTTGATTTTTGACCAAAATAATTTGGCGCCCACTGTGGGGCCGTGGTGTTCAAAACCTTTCGGAAAATCATGTATACACAACCGACCATATCTTCCTCCTCCATTCCTCCCATTTCCTTTAAAAACCTTGCTCCACCTCGAGGGGGAGCTCCCAAGAAAGCCTCCGAGGCACCGAAGAAAAACACCTCTCCGGTCGCTACCCAAGGACTTCAGGATCCTCCTTTGCTGATTTCTAATAATGAGATCTTCGCTATGATGAAGAGACTGGAACGAAAATTCACTCAATAGAAGGAGGATAATAGGACAATACCCAAGGAAGTGGAGAGAATGAGGGCAAAAATCCACAAGCCTCAAGAAGCAGCACCCTCGATCTTGCAGCCCAAGATCCTGAACTTTTGTAACACAGGATCCTCAGCAAATCACTGCCATATAGGATCCTCAATACCGACCTCTGTTTCCTCTTGGGGAACAACTCCAAGGGACCAAGCCCACATGACCCAAGATCCTAGAGAAACCTTCGTTACTCCTATTAACAAGGATCCTGGTAACTTAGTCGATAATAATATCTTTACTACTAACTCTATGGATATTGATGCAGGAATGAGCCCGCACATGGACAAAGAACTTCAACGGCTACGACAGATGATCTCAAGTGTACCTTGATTAGTTCAACCTATACCAGAGGTATCCCCCACAAGCCACAAGATCTCGAGATTCGTCCTGTAATCGCTGAAACTGAGGTCCCAAATCGCTTCCAAACGCCCATCATGAAGCCTTATGACGGGACCACGGATCCTGAGGAGCATGTCACACAGTATAGGGAAAGAATGGAGATCATCCCCATTACCACACACTTGAAGGAAGCTTACCTGTATAATGGATTTCGTTCGACCCTCATAGGATCAGCCTTAAAATGGCTTCTTAACGTTCCTCCTTACTCTATTACTTCATTTGCTCACTTGGTTAAATTGTTTCATAATCAATTTTCTTGTAGATGAACTTTCGAGAAGATCACTGGTGATCTTTATCGGTTGTTTCAGGATCCTAAGGAATCCCTTATGACTTTTGTGAACAAGTGTGGCGGGGAAGCTTTGAGTATCCCCAAGATTGATATGACGATTTCAATTGAAGCCTTTAAAATGGGCTTAAAAAGGACTCTCCTTTCTAAATGGTGTGCATACCATGAAGACTTCGGTCATATCACATAGGATTGTATAACTCTCAGGAAGGAGACCAGCTACCTCTTAGGCAAAGGATACCTCAAAGAAATCCTTCGAAGAAGAAATGAATGATCCAAAGAGAAAGATTAGGATCCTCAAAAGATACTCAATAAGCAAGGTTTGTCCTGTTGACGCCAAGGTAATCAATGTGATCTCTGGAGGATCTGAAATTTGTGGTACCTCTTACTCTGCAGCAAAAAGGCATGCCAAAGTGTCACAAACAGAACAAGAATAAATGTAACGGTAGAATACGACAGTCAAAAACGAGAAAGAGATCACCTTCGACGAAGCAGATAGACAAGACATCTAGGATCATCAGAACGACGGATTAGTGATTACTCTTTACATCACCAACAATTTCGTCAGACAAGACATCCAAGATCATCACCACGAGGGATTAGTGATTACTCTTTACATCGCCAACAATTTCGTCAGAAGGATCCTTGTCGACGGAGGATCGTCAATAAGCATTATACTCTTGGATGCTCTAAAAGGAATGAACATCCCACAGTCCAAAATAATCAAAAGATCCTCAGTATTGATAGGATTCAGTGGCGAAACAAAACACACGGTCGGTGAAATAAAACTACCTATCAACATTGAGGGGGTAAACTCTATGCAACGTTTTTGTGTAATAAATACACTATCTTCTTATAATGTTGTACTAGGTAGACCATGGATCCACGAAATGAAGGCAGTCCCATCAACATATCATCAATGTGTGAAGATGCCCACCTCATGTAATTAATAGGAATCCAAAGAGTGAAGATCACAAGTAATTAATAGGAATCCAAAGAGTGAAGATCACAAGTAATTAATAGGACAGTGAAGATCACAAGTAATTAATAGGAATCCAAAGAGTGCTACAAGACCTCGATGAAATCTTCAACAATACCAAGACAAGCATAACAATTACAGTAGGGGGCACAAGATGTGCTAGGAACAAGAGAGCAGATGTACAGCAAGTGCCCATGAACCTTGAAGATCTTGATGCCAAAGTTATCATAGGATCCTCAATAATAGAACCAAGCGAATAAGAACTAATAAAGTTCCTCAGAGCTAGAAGCAAGACATTTGCATGGAAGCACGAGGACATGACAGGTATAGATAAAAATATAATAACCCATAAACTTAATATTGATCCTTCTTTCAGACCAATACACCAAAAAAGAAGGAAGTTCGCACCAGAGAGAAACCAAATCATACTAGAAGAAGTAGAAAAACTTCTTAAAACAGTAATGATCAAGGAAGTGATGTTTCTAATGTGGATAGCCAACATGTTCGTATGTCACACCCCCAAAATCGAGACGAAGGAAACGTTCAGGGGTGGATGACGTCATGTACAGTATCACAACAATTGTATAGAAGAAATCAAAGAAACAACAACAATTGTATTAATAATATAGTGTTTACGTTGTATTCGAATCACATATGATTGATTCCAAAATTAAATAACAAAACAAAGACTTGAAGCTACCATGCTCTGTATTCTCGAAACCTGTACGTGTACCTGTCTACTAGTTTCTTGAGAATACAAGTGATTTTGAAAGTGTATCAACATTTAAGTTGGTGAGTTCATAAGCATTTTTCTTATAGAAAGTATATTCTTTGTTCTTTGAAAATGTTCGTGTGTTCCACCAGAAAATCCTATATTTTCTTAGTAACAAATGTGACCATAACAGTTCCTTCTATGATCACTTAGATTATACTAGCTATATATAAACTAATATTGAACGGACAGTTGAATGTGTGGATCTGCCCTAAGCCCACAACCAAACAAGGAACAGGAAGTAAGGCGGAAATCACACATTCCACTGCCTATCGGATATTATTTACATATAACTCTGATGTATAAAATAAGGAACCATAGACTTAACAATTAGGGGTCCTTTATATTATGCTAGTTTGTAAATAAGTGTTGAACCTTTTGTAAATGTATTCCTAGTTCCACACGCTCTACTGTAAAGTATTGTTTTCAGTAAGTAATCATATTTGTTTATAGAAAATTGAATTGTAAACTATTTGCTTGTAAATTAGTTATGTTTAACCTGGAAAATCCTATATTTTACATAAAACCGAATTGTAGTCTAAATGTTCCAAGACTGAAAAGTACAAGTATAGTTTCCATACTTAGTTTGATGATACCTAGTTTTATTTATAAGTAAAACTAGCTGAAGATGAGTTTGCCCTGTAAACTAGATGTGATGTTAATACCGTCCTATGAATACTTAGTACATACGAGTCGTATATAATCGAGATCAAACAGATAGTCGAATGGGTAAATCTGCTCTGAGCCCACAACCAAACAAGGAACATGAGATAAGGCGGAAATAACACATTCCACTGTCTACCATACATTAATTTTATATAACCCTGATGTATGTGTTAAGTGATCACTGAGTTACTACCCCTTAAGACTGTTTAAAAATTATATTACTACGTAGGTGTGTCGTTGTTTTCTCCATGTGAGTTCTTATAACCATACTAATATGACGGATGGCCTGATACGACGTTCTTTAGGCGTCGGAATCGTTAATGACTTTTGTCACCACAGAAATTCCGTTCCAACTGTAGCTAAGAGTCAGGGCGCGGGATTGTCAGTCCCGTATAGATCTATACACAAACTCACGTTCTCCCTCCAGGAGACTCTGGTTATTAAGTCAAGACTTGGTTGGTACTTAGGTAAGTACATGAAGGTGTCTCACAAA